CCTCCTAGGGTCGATGCACAGCGGTTTATCATCGAGAAGGAAACACCATCCATCCATCCATCCCATCATGGTGTGCTTGCGGTACATTTCCGCGGTGCTCCTGCATGAGCCGCCACAGCTCTCCGTGGACGGTGCGATGTCTTTCTCCGTCGACAGGCCTGGCATTCTAGACACCAAGTCCGGATGCCACCGTCCTCTGCCCGCCACCGATACCTTCGTGGCATTCCGTCCAAAAGAACATTAAGACATGACATGGTACAACAGAGCAATGCAGAGACCCACCCCCACTACCAGGAGTACCGCACATCCCAAGTCACCTGTGATTGGCGCCGGCAGCGGCGAAGGCCGGCGAGTCCCCCTTCTTGACGAAGCGATCCAACGGAACGGCTTTCGGCGTTTCTTGCACCGACGCGCAGATGCGCGGCTCCTTTGATTGTTGTGCAAGGGTATCAGACGCGGTCGCGCGGGGCACATGGGCGGGGGGGGGGGGGGATTCGTTCATGAGTGCGAACCAAGAAGCACGCCAACAACACTAGCTGAAAACCAATGCAGCAAAACAGCGGTATCAGCAATGGAATGTTGAAGGATTGTCATGGTGGCGGCATCGTTTCACCATCCCTCTCATTTTCATGAACCGACACCAAGCGGTGTGCGCATACAGCAGTGAAATGTACATACCACATACCACCGTTCGTTTTTTCATTGTACTAAATATCTACAGCCGTAGCGCTTTGTAGACCTTGATGGCCTTAGACGCTGAGAGGGGCTCTACATCCGGGAGGACACAAGCTGCGTGTTGACTCACGCCTACACCGCCATATGCATACAAGCACGATACTGCTGCGGTACGCGGTTTCCTCGAGATGGACGAAAAAGAGGCAAACGAAAACATATGTCACATGACGTGGTCGGCGTACACCAATACCACAACAATGACACCGACAAGCATACGGCGCTGCTGGCTTCGCTCGCTCGCTCACCTTGCCTCCGTCCACCCTGTCTCCCACCTCTCCGCTGCTACCGCTGCTGCTGCTGCTGCTGCCGCCGCTGCCGCCGCGGCCACGGCCGCGTCTGCTAGACTCACTGCCTGCTCTCGAGCATCGTTTTGCGGACGACAAACGCGCGGGCCGTTCGGTGTGTGGCAACATTGAGGCGGGGCAGAATAGGGGTTTTGAGGCTGGTTCTTTTTCTCACTTTACTCCAACATAAAGAAAGAAAACAACCTTCCCGCCTGAGGAACCTGGTAATTAGTATTAAATTCAGTAGAGGACACCATGAAGAGGCGTCGCGCGTTCTGGCACGTGCAGGTTTGCTACTGGAGCTGAAATATCGAAGGTCGCAGCAGCCTCTGAAAACAGTCCGAAACCTGCGCCGGAACCAAGCGGCATCCAACATTTGTCACAGCCGTGCTCACCGCCGCGGAGGCGTGTGGAGGTATGTAGGCGCATGAATTGTATGTTTTGAGAAGCCTCCACTGCCGCCCTGTGCGAGAATCAACGATTTCTGTCCTTCGTGATGCCTTCCGACTGGTGTTGTGTGTCTGTCTCTTGTGCGTTTTCTGGTGCCTTGCGTTTGTTTTCAAAATTCGTCAACATCCAAGTTATTGTTCCGCCATCCCTTAATAACATTCTCAACAAGGCGTCAAGACAACGACGATGCATGTACCATCGCCCGTGGTGTTCTTTCTGATCTTGCCGCAGATGAGACGAACACAAAGAATGCCAATTGCACGAGTTTTGTCCCGGGCGACGTTGTTGCTGGATCTCCACTGCTTAACGAATGCAACGTTACTGCTGTCTGCGATACACGATTTCTGTTCTCTATCTGATTTCCTGCCGTCTTCGAATGTATAGATACCCTTTTGGGGGGGTAATTGGCCTGTGACCCCGGAAGATGGCTGCGTCAGTCAGTTGGACCAGCGCGGATATGAGCAGAGTCCGGGACGGTTTATTGTGGAAAGACAACAAAAACAACAACAACACAGCAGCAGCAGCAGCAGCAGCAGCTGACAAATCGCATGTGACAACTACCCGCTGCTGCTCTGCTGCAAGTCATAAGGGAGGCTGGCTCCTCATCCACGCTCTTCGGCGGCAGGTTTTCTGTATGCACAGAACTTGATGCACAAAACTAATGCTTTGTTTTGTTTTGATCGAATGAACGACCCTCAGGAATCGGGAATCTTACGCCCCGTCACAACGCCCCCTGAACCGAGGGGTAACGTGATGTGTGTTGTAAATGCTACAGAGGTCGGTTTCTCCGCACCACACAGCGGGGTTGCCAGAGTTAATTGACGACCGTTTCGAAATTCGGTTGAGTATTTGAAAACCTTTGGAGCTCGGTCTCATCAGAGATTACCGTCCAGAAGCAGGAAGGGTCGTATATTATCTTCAGCATGTCTCACCATGGGGAAGGGCGGTAGACGTTGCCGACGGAGGAACTTTGAACCACCAGAAACTAAACAGCCATGTAGCCATCTTACCTCCACAAGAAAAGAGCACGACTTGAGGCAGGGGATGACGTACGTACACCAAGTAAAGAAAATTGCTGTACACTTCATCGGAACTACGCTCTCTCGACGTGCAACACCAAAATTGATTGATATGTATCGCCGCCACATGTACATATAGAGCATGTGTGTTCCGTCGAGTTTTATCTCGTGGTCCGCCCCGTCCACCCCACGATGAGGCACGGACTTTACAGCAGAGAGTGTTCCTCTTCGGAAATGTGCCCTGTAAATACATATGTATATGTATATGCATATGTATGAATGTGGTGCGGATTATTATTCCATCTTCCAGCATATTTCATCTATCTGTGCGTCCCGGGGACGCTGTAACACGGTTCTCTCGCCACTTTGTGTGTGTCAGCAGAGAGACAAAAACAAGCCATCCAACAGCAGTAGTGCCTACGCTCCTCCAAACAGAGCCGGGGCGGGGGTCTGATGTACGGACGTCACCGTAGGCATTCAATTCAAGAATAGTTTGAGCCTCAGCCGTGAAAACAGCTCCAAGATACCAAAACGGAGGTAGACTCTTGGCGCAAGAGCAGCAGGAGAGGCATGGCCCGCTGCCGTTTGCTCCGCGATTTTCTTTCTCAGCCTGCCCATGACGACACACGACACACCCTGTCGCGCTTTTCCGCGGTTGGATGTTTCCGGGTCGTCTTTTTGTTCCGCAAAAAAAAAACGGAGAGAAAAACAATTCGTAAAAAATGCTCCATTATCCACACACACGCTATTTAGGTTCTTGGTAACCCGGGGTGGTGTTTATCCCATCATTCCTCGTTGCATCAGGCACACGACTTCCGCTTCTTCTTATTTTCTTCCCTTTCGCTGGTGGGGTGAAGAGACAGCTATACATATGATCCCGGCGGCAATCTACCCCATCCCCGAGGCACACACACACGGAGAGATTGGGAGCCTTCCGGATATATATCCTCCACAACTTTCTTTTTTGTGGATACCACAAAAAATCCGCAAAACATATTTTACACACCACGCGCGCGTTCCAGCAGCCGCCCTTGCCAAGCAAGGTGTCTCATGCATCGCTATTGCTCCACGAGCAAGCGCAGGTGGGCAACTTCAACGCCTAACAAGGTATCATGTTCCACTCTGATCTAGACACGAGTCATACATGTAATACGTATGCCGAGGGAACTCTCTGTGTCCTTTCGCACCTATGCGTCGTCTTCTGTCTCCAGAACGCGTCGTTGTCTCCTTGCGCTCCGGGCCGCCGCCTTCCTTTGCTTGGCGCTTGCTGCTCTCGGGAGGCTCTTCCAGCCCCAGCTGGTAGGAGAAGCCCACCCCGAACGACAGCAGGATGGGCGCTCCGAGGGAAGGCATCGCATGCAGTCAGTGGTACCCGAACGCGACCCCTGGCCTAAAACAAAGATCGAATTTGGTGAGATGGGCCAATGGTACACTACCCCGAAATTTTTGATACTCTCGCTCGCGGCCGGCCGGCCGGCCGTGCGTCTTCTCCTTCAAAAACTGTCCCCTTGAGCGTCCAAATCAGGGGCGGGCGGTGTCGAGAAGAGAGAGAGAGAGAGAGAAGTGGGGTTGGGTCGAGCTTCAACAAGCCTGCCCTGCTGCTGCTGTGGCTACCCTGCTGCGTTTGTGCAAGCGGACTCTCAACACAACCCAGGATGCTACGCATGTGCAACCTCTGCACTCTCACCCCCCCACCACATCCCCGCCGTTTGGTTCTCGCACTACTGCGAAGCCCCTCCTAGCTGCTTGATGTGCGAGTAACCACTTACTCACACGCACAGCATAGCAGTAGTAGTCATAGAGGCATCACTGCCCGTCTGTGTACTTCTTATCTCCCACGATGCTTCGGCAAATGTTGTTGTCGAGACGGGTCACCGCACCCTCTTTTCTCGGGAAGAAAACGGGGGTGCGGCGATACGTCAACACGGCAGCAGGATCGGGCGGACGACGCCAAAACCAACGGACTGCTACAAGCGTACTTCCGACGACGCAGCGGAAGAGCAGCGGCAGCAGCAGCCCGGCACTAATGCTATCAACGTCGGCTGCTGGGGATGTACGGGATACGGTCATCATCGGCAGTGGGCCTGCTGGCTATACGGCAGGTATACACAGAGTGCAGGTTGAAAAATGCCCAGTCGTACAGCAGCAGGCAGCAAGGAGTGAGTGCCTGCTTGCCAACAGCAGTGCACTGCAGGTTCGGAACACGTTGAGTATGCAGAACGGTTGGCACACAGCAGTAGCTATATGATACAGTTTGCTGTCTGTGTTTCATGTTAGGCCTGTTTTCGAAACCTAACGTGAGCATTAATGATGGGTGTTGGCAGCCCCGGGGAGCGATAAACAGGTTGACTTTGTAGTGAATGATAAACAGGTGTGCTGGTCTCATTCTACAAGTCTCTGTACTACAAGGTGTATCCTAGGTATTGCTGTTTGATAATGTATGATAGTGACGAACACTGCAAACGTAACGTCGCCTCGGCTCATCGCTGGCAGAATAGTCTAACGGAGATCATTTTTCTTGTTTTTTGGGAGAAGCTATGCACAACCCAACAACATCGCTACACACGTTCCAGTTGAGATACCAGCGGCCCACGCAAGGTGGTATCCTAGTACGGAGTGTAAACATTGCATACAGATCCTGATCTTGCCGTAATTGTAAAGAACTCTTTGAGTTCGTAGTTTAGAAACCCGGGGTGTGTAGAGACTCGTGTGCACCGTCCATGTCACCGTCGGCGTAGCCGGGTTTACGGGTAGAGGGCCTCTTCTCTAGGCTCCTTCCACGTCCATCATCGTTCAGAAAAAAGGCGCCGTATTGTAGAGCCGCGCGTTTTCCGTACGAAGTCTTGCGTCGTCTCGACCTGCCCGCGGCAAGCTTGGGGTTCAAGCCCCGAATACGACTTTGTTTTGTTGACTCCCCTGCGCACCACACCGCTCCAGCGGTATCACGGTTTATACTTCTTCTGCCGCACCAGAGGCACCGCAGATAGGCGTCACGATCGAGTGAAATACAGTTTACACCAGACAGAGGGAGAGGTCGGTCGGTCAGGGAGCACGTGACGGCTGGGAAATGATGCCACTGCTGCTGGTACTGCTGCTGTTGTTTCTTCGCGCAAAGAGAAGGATATGTCGGCCATCAATCAGCAAAGATGGTAGATCTAGGTGCAAGGCTTTTGGTTGGCTTCAGGAGGTCTCCGCTCCAAGCGGCACGGGGCGGTTGTTTCTGTTGCTGCAGCGGCCGACTTGAGAAATGTTTGGCCAGTGTCCATCGACGCAACAGCCGTGAACAGTCTACCCTTCACACCGGATAACTAACTCTTTTTTATTTGGTATTAGCATATCACAATAAACCCGTATCTATCCATTGATTGATTTACTCTGCGGGTGGAGGGCAGTTGATGCCTACAAGAAGCAACAATCCGACACACCGAATCTGGAATATATCGGGTCATCCCCACGGGGATGCCTCATCCCTCACTTTTGCCTTCACATTGCCTTTATAAAGTCCCCTTTCTGTGCCCGGGCTACCCGCCGTCTGTTCGGTTGGGACAGCGCTTTACACCGCCAGGGCCCAGATGAAGCCGCTCATGATCGCCGGCTTCCAGCATGGAGGACAGGTGGGCGTAAGTTGCACCCCGTTCTTCTCGGCGCTTCGCAGGCTTGGCAGTAGCGTCGGACGTCGGCAGTGCCACATGACCGGGGCGAGGGTCTTGGATTACTGCTCCTTCCCGTGTGTGAAGTACACACACGCTTTTGTTGTTGTTGTTGTTGTTGTTGTCGTTGTTGTCGTTGCTGTCTTCATAACAATATTGAAAACCATTGAAGCAAGGCGAATAACGAGACCCAAGAGTGACGCGACTCCAGAAACAATTTAGACGGCACAGTGTTTCGCAGTTTGTTTTTTGTTCGCCGATGTCATCGGCCGCTGTCTGCGGCGGGGTGGGGGGGGGGCGTACTCTTTTGTTGCTTACCGTAGTCATTTGACCATTGACCACGCGTCCCTTTCGAGACGGAGCATCGCGGGGTGGGGGGGGGGGTGTACGTGTCTGTTTCGCGGCACATGGTGTGTTGGCCCAGTGGCGTTTTGTGTGTGCTTTTTGCAGAATAACCGCTCACTTTTACGTCAACGCGTTGCAATGACACTTTGAGCCTCGGAAGCAGCACCAGGTGCACAACCCGCCGTGTATTCCCAGCGTCACCGGTGCATCGCTGACTATCTCCCGAGGGAGGGGGTGGTTCCGTGGTGAATCACCAAGAACATTTGTTGTTCTGATTAATTTTTTTGATGCGTCCAAGAACGACACGGTTGTATTCCCAATTGATCCCAAGAGGGGACAATCCAACCGGCCGGGCGGGATGCATGAGAAAAACGCAAGGGGTCGAAAGGAATTGGGTTTACGGCGCGATATCTATTACAGCACGTGCTTCTCATGTCGAGAGAATTCAGGACCTCCTCGTCCCCCCATCCTCTCCCCTCCAGTAGATTTCTCAGGGTCTATCCGATGAAGTAAACATGTCGGATAAAGCATACAATCGGGGAAGTGGGGTCAGGGTTTAGTGAATAGGGTCTGCGTCCCCCCTCCCTGTTCTGTTTCCTCATAAAATTATTTATTCTCGCGAGCGCGGTCCCTCCCCTCCGCTGTTCCATGTCCACAGCTCCAGCTGACGTCAGACGTGGAGAACTTTCCGGGGTACGCAGAGGCAGTGTCGGGCCCCGATCTCATGGAAGATCTCCGAAAACAGGCAGAGGTGATCGGCTAAGTGGGGACGCTTTTGCTCACGCACACTTCAGGGAGGGGGAGGAGAGAGGGGGATGACGCACAATCGCAACAAGATCCCGACCGACCTTGCACGTAGCGCCATTGCGCACTTCCTCTCTCTCAATATTGAATCCCAACACGCGTTGTTCCTTCCGGTTTGTCGATGATGTCTGTCTCTTCTCTCTGTCTTTCTCTCCCTATCCCCCCCCCCCCCCCCCCCGGGTTGGCCCCCGGGGTGGGTTTTCCTCTCTTGGGC